GAAAGAGCAGCTCCCCCCAGGCGCCCTGGCAGGCAGTGCTGCGCCACTCAGCAGCCGAGTCCAGGGGCTTCCCGCCAGGAGACCCGCAGGACAGCAGGGTGGATGTGGGGACCGCAAGGCTTGGGTCGATTCTGCGACAGGCGTTCCAGGCGCCTTCTGAAAACGTGTTTGTGGACCTCGCCCAGGCTGGGTGCGAGATGGCTCGCGGAACAGCCCTTGGCCAGGCTGGGAGTGGTGAATGTGACTGGCCAGCTGGGACCCTGCAGGGAGCTGTTGGCTGGTTCTTGGCCTTGGTGTAGCACAGATGGAAGCTGCTGAAACTTGTCTTTTTGGTGCTTGGCTTAAGACTACATCTGCAGTAGTGGCCACCCCTCTCTCTAGTGTGAGCCAGCAGCACTGCTGAGACTGGGGCCCTGGGCCAGCCCTGCCAGACAGCTGCAGAGCTCAAACACCTGGCAGCGGCGTTGGACATCACGTGGGAAGAGGTTGGAAGCAGGGACGTAACAGTGGAGTCGATTAACCGATAAGCAAAAGCGTATAGTGTAGACTACGCGCATTTCCCTCTCCCTGCCAGAACATTGTTAGCTGGCCAGCAGCCTCGTTCAGTCCTGGCTTGCGATGGCTCTGGGCCCTACCCCCGCTGCAGCTCTGCATTTCAAGTGTATTAGGAGCCGAGCAGGCAGGCAGCCCAGCTCTGGCTTGCACCAGTCCAGGAGCTCAGACACCCCCAGACAGGGGCTGCCGCCAGGGCGACAGGCAGTCAGTCTGCGAGGGGAGCCGGTCTTAGAACTGTCTCCCTTCGCGGACCAGCTCCCGCTAGCACCCCATGCTGCTGCCTCTGATACAGCAGCTGCCGGCCCTGGGGACTATAGAATAGTCGACTAACCGATACAATTTCACGAGATCCAGTATTTAACATCCCTAGCTGAAAGGTGCCAGAGCTAGAACTGAGCCTTGACCAATGCTCCCTCTAATTTTTTCATGTGCAGAATAATCTTTGTTCTATGCACCAAGCCACGTGCAGATGTGCACCACCACTAGAAACACCTGCTGCTGGCTGTGGGCTAATCAGCTTGGCGGCATTTGAATCTGTCCTGCGTGGCCGCCCAAATGCTCAGCTTAAGGGAACCTTGGCCTGAGGCAGACCATTGTTTGGGCCTCTCTCATGCCGCTGTTTGTCCAGGTGATGCTCGCAGCGCGAGGTCCAGTGAGGGTCTGCAGGAGGCTGCTGTGCCGCGTCGTCCTGGGGAGCGCCCCCTCCCCTTTTACCTCCAGTCCCACACAGGAGCCCAAGGCACCCCCTTGCAGCCCCAGTGTGCCAGACGACACAGCCTCAGCAACCCTCTACCCCAGCCCTGGGTGGGCAGTCACCAACGCCCCCAGCCCCGGGGCTCCAGGCAGTGTGGGCTGAGCACCGGGCGGGAGCAAGGCCAAAGTACCAGCCAGCAGCCAGGCTGGAACCAGCAGGGGGGGCCGGGTTGGGGCAGGCTGGGTGGGTGGGGCACAGCA